AGGGCATTATCTCATCCTTTGTTTTCCCCAAAGGACGGGGCAGACGTTTTTCCCCCTCTTTCTGCCCCCAGAGCCCCAGCCGATGCCCACACGAGGGCTGGTGGGGCTGAGGGTCGCAGCAAGAGCTTCCCCGAGAGCAGCCATGACCCATCCTGACGTGCCAACCACAGAGGAAGGAAGGTTGGTCACCTTGGGAAAGGAATTTCCACCTCTCCAGGGAGGAGGCTTGAACCCCTGGTTCTCAGAAGTACGTACGTCCTATGCCATTTGCCGGTGCAAATACGTATGAGGAAGTTTCCTGCACATCACCATCCTACTGAGAACTTAAAGCAACACTCAGAGCCAATTAATCAGATGAGGAATTCTTCATCCTTAACAGAAAAGCCACCATAATCTACTGAGACCAAAAAAATAAATATGAGTCTATTTAAGGCATTTTTAAAGCTGCTAAAATCAGTGCTAGGGGACATGTTATCACCAAACCACCCTCCCTGCTCCACTGTGGGACACCACTGCTGTCCTCAGGTCCCAGAGGCTCAGACTCACACCTGAACCCCACATGTAATTATTTTAATTAGGAACAAGTATGATCAGCAGCATAGTAGACTGCTACTGTTAGGAGGTGGCTATTTCTGAGGCCAGGGTAGGTATTTCCATTGCCCTGGCTGACACGTGGCTCTGGATTTCTTGCACTGCCTGGTTCAAGCTGCTCAAACAGCTCTGGTAGACACAAGTTGGCTCCAGTTCCTCCTCTCCACCCCATCCTGGTTGGTATTTTCACACGGCAAGCTGCAAGCCTTGCACCTGATTTTAGTCAGAGGAAACTAACACGAATCTCTACGGGCTGAGAATTTGGTGCCAAGCACAAAATAACCCGTTACAGAAAAAAAAAAGACTTAAGTGATGAGCAGAAACCACCACGTTTCATCCTTCTTGCGCGACTCACCTGAGCTATGGAAGGACCAGCTCTTCTCCACTGCTCAGAGCCCACCCCTCAGTGGATGGTTGGGCTTGGAAAGCCCTTGGGGCACAGAGTGAGAGAGGACCAAGGCAAGGGGCACCAACCCACCCTCCCCATCCCTTCCCCAAGGCCAACCCGATGCCGCTCTGCCAGACGGGTGGCACCGGGATGCCATTCCTGTGGGACGGGGCCTACGACCGCCTGCGGGAAGTGCCTCTCCCTCTCCGGGCAGCCAGAGGAAACCCAGCCTTTCACCCCACCGAGCTTATTTTAGCCAAATGTCCAGGTTTGGGAGGACTCGCATCCTATTCCAGCTCCGGCTACGCGCTACCGATTTAATTTCTGCTCCAATTACTCTCCCACCCAGACACTTGATCTACTGTCAATTAGCACTGACAGGGCCCTGCCCCACAGCTCAAAGTCCACGTTTTCAGCCCCCCCCAACCCCCGGGCCAGAAAGCTGCCAATTCTGGCAGTATGGGAACGGTCAAGAAAACAAACATCCTCTCCTTTTATTAGCACCACATGGCGGTATTTTGACTAGCGAGCTCTGGCTACAAGAAGCTGAAGACAGTGGGATTTCCAGAAACTGGTGAATCGAGGCTCCTGCTCTTCCCATCTGCCAGGGAGGGATGGCTGGGGACGGTGCCCACAGTGATGCTGGCACCAGGTGAAGAGCCGATGGCAAAGCAAGACCCAAGATGCCACCATGCCATCAGTGATGTCATGTCTGCATGGTGACAATGCTGACTGGAGAGCACCGAGCCACCCCACAGCATCCCCACGGGTCCCACCATCACCCACAACCAGGTCTGACAGAGACACGGTCCATTAGTGAGGACACAAGTTTGACCATCACTGAATTTGTGTCCTCTCCACAGACCCTTGCTGTTAAGCACAGGCTTACGCAGTTTTACCAGCTGATAACCCAAGTCTGCTTTTCAAAAATAAAGATATTATTTCACAAAGGTGACTCACTAGCATCCTGTCCAGGGTCATTTCTGCTCATTGTGAACAAGCAGCTCTCTGCACGTCCAACTCCTTCAGCTGCGAGGGCAGTTATTCCCCGCAGCCGTGGTATTAATCACAGTTTTAATAAGGAGGATTGATTACATTCCTGGCCTCTGAGCAGGGGTTTTCCACAAAGCGCAACTGTCAAACCACAGGAGATTTAGGAGGAGCAGAGAGCTCCGCAGCCGCTCCATGCCTTCCAAGCTCCCTTGCACAAAGGATCAGGGCAAGCCTCACTGCTTTCAAGAAAAAGATTGCACCTAAATAAACTAAAATGGAATTGTAGGGTACGTGCTTTCCTAGAAATCACATGGATTTAGCCTAGTGAGAACTGCTGCAGTCACAAATCAAAGGACTTTCAAGACATCTTTGCCCAGGATGATGGAAAAGTTGATCGAGTAAAACCTGGAAGAAGGAAAGACTCACGCTCTAAGTTACTGGAAAGGCCACTTGGGGTGAAACTCTCAAAACCCTTTCAAGAAACAACCCCAAAACTATTTTTGTGATTCAAGGGCAGAATTCCAGCAGATTTTTTTTTTTTTTCCTTGTGTTTCAAAGCAGACTGCTTTTTTCCAGATGTGAGGAAGTGCACCTAGAGGTTGCACGTTTCAAGCCAAGCTATGACTTTACAACGAGCCTTTTCTTTCTCACAGTCTGTGAAGTGCTTTTGCTACAGGGGCTGAATGAAGACGGCACAGGACAGCCCTGTGCCACGTGGCATCGCTCCACGGGGGACTCCAGCCATGGCTGGGATCTCCACTCCTGGAGGACAGGATCCCTTCTGCAAGGGTCTGCTCTCTGGGGTGATGATGGCTCACCCTTGGTGTCACGCAAGCCAGAGGACATCTGCAATAAAGCAGGGGTTAGGACAAGCTGCTGGCACGTGTCCCAAGCCACCAGCACGAGCCACGCTCAAGGCACAGTCGGTTTGGGAAGGGAGAAGAGTCAACCAGCACATCTCAGGTGTGACCAACAGCAAGCTGTGGGCACGGTACCTCCTTCACCTCCTCCCTGGGAGGCCAGAAAAACCATTACACAAGACAACGTGGAGATAGAGCCATCAAGAAACAGAGAGAAACCAGGAATGTGCTGTCTTTACCTCCTTATTCTTCTTCACACGCCTCTCTCAGTGCCTTGCCGCAAACACGTCTGTTTTACCCACCAAGTACTCCCCAGATTTAGACATTTTCAGTGTAGGTCTGGATTCAGAAAAAATCCGTCCCTGCCCCCCTCATTACATTCTATGTAACTGCCTAATTTTTAAAAAGATCCATCTGTAACATATATTAATAGTCAGATTCAAATCCAATCTGCATTAAACCTCAGAAATGTTGTATCTGGCAGGGGGACTGCTGCACATTTGGTCCTCATTTAATATTATTCATAGGGTTCTGGGCACATCAAAGTCTATTAAGAAAAAATATCTGTCAAATAAGATTGCTGTAATTGATTAATGAAGCAAACATGGCCAGAACTCAAAGCCTGAGCACACAGATCACCCTGCTCTGTCAGTCAGGGCAGGGAAGACAAGCAGACCCACCAGTTGCTGGTGTGTGGTACCGGAGAGGGTTTGTCGATACGGCCGTTCCGCAGTGCCAGCAGCACCAAGCACATCAGATCACTGCCCATCCAAGGAGGAGCAAGACAGCAGGAGCTTCCCTCTGCTCCATTCTTTCCTCCTGGTCTCCTCCTCATTCCCCAGATACCTCTACATCACGCAACATGGACCAGCACATCCAAAAACCCAACAGCCAGCTAACCCGGAGGCAGAAAGGGAGGAGTGAGACACCGTTCCTCTTCCCTTGAAAGAACCAAAGGGGAACAAGAGTCATCTTCGACCTTACCACCAAGCTATTAGTCAAGAGTTGGGTAGGAATGATGGAAGCCTCCTCAGCTCCATCCACCTCTTGGTAGCAGGTTGCTGCTGGAGATGGCTCTACCCTCACCCCAGCTCTCAAAGCCCACGGGGTGGGAAGGCAGGGCAGGCTGCAGGCAGAAGGGTCGAGGGAAAGAGCTGAAGAGAGAGGGAAGAGACAAGAAAAACAGAGAAAGAAGAGAAAGGAGTGAGACAGAGGAGGGAACCAGACTCTTTTCAGTAGTTGCCAGTGAGAGGACAAGGGGCAATGGGCACAAGTTGGAACATAAAGGGTTCCACTTGAATATGAGGAAGAACTTTTTCACGCTGAGGGTGACGGAGCCCTGGAGTGGAGTCCCCTTCTTTGGAGATTTTCAAGACCCACCTGGATGCTCCTGAGTAACATGCTCTGACAAGCTCTGGGTGGTCCTGCTTTGGCAGGAGAGTTGGACTAGATGATCTCTATGGTCCCTTCCAACTCTAAAATTCAGTGAAAATTCAGAAGGAGAAAAAAAAAAGGAAAAAAAGAGACCATCATAACAAAAAAAAAAAAACAGACCCCGGGCGTGCTGTGCTGCAGGATGGGCAGGCGTTAAAAAAAAAAAAAAAAAAAAAAAGTCATCCACCACCACGTGACGTGACTCACCGCCACGGGATTAGGAGGGTGGGGTGGATTTTGGAAGCAGCAGAGATGGAGGCACGTCGGCCGAGGCAGGTGCAAAGTCCCTCAGGGCGTGCTGTGCTGCAGGATGGGCAGGCGTTGGGCAGCACCCTCAGAGCTCCCTACGGCTCCATCACTCATAACAACACTGACCACAGCCTCCAGCGGGGTCCGGTGCTGGGTGCTCCCCTCCCTGGGGCACGTCCCAGCCTCCTCACGCCGCTGGCGAAGGATTCAATAACGAACTTGGGTGGAGAGTAATTAGGGAGCTGGGTTTAAGCCAGATCAGTTCAGGGCTCCGGTTCACCACAGGAGCTTGAGCTTCACCGGCCCAAGGAAAGCAGAGCACAGAAAAGCCTAACAAACACCACGCTTTCAGACCACGCACAGAAACTCCTCAACCCCTGGAAGGACTGAGGGTGGAGCAGAGGACTTTCCACATTCCAGATCTGGATCTCCCTTCCCCAGAAAAGCAATGAGGGAGAGCAGCCTGGGCGCTGCTGGGGCCGTACCTGTGGGTCCGGCTCTATGTTGATCCGATACGCTTGAGCCTTGCCATCCTCCAGAACAGGGGGGGACCAGGTCTTCCCTTCAGCTCTGCAAAGGGAAATTAAGGAAACTCAACTTAAATTGCTTTAAAAATCCCCAAGCCCCCCCCAAAATCTCAAACAACAAAAACACAGGCTTCTTAAAAATCAAAACGAAACAAACCCAAACATATATATAGTATATAAGCCTGCCAGGGAATGAATATATATGCATGTTTGTCTACAATTATCCTCAGAAATAGTACAGTGGTAAATAGAGAAGATTTCACGAAGCTGAAAACCATTCTTGAACCACAGGAGTGACCTTAGTGTGGAGCTTAAGGGACACACTTATTTCAGTTCAAGGAATCAGTAGACAGACCTGGGGTGGTTCCTGTTTCACGTACTCCTGGCTTTGCCCCTTTACTCTGGCCCTGAATCCTGAAATGTATTCAGATGACGTGTGTGTGTATCTATTTTCCATTCCCTGGCAGGCCTATGTACTAGAACACTACAGGAACGATATAAATGCCTTTCAGCTATAAGGCTTACACGACCCTGCGTGAATCATCTCGACCCTTTCCACACAGGTGCTGGATAGAAAAAGTCCTAAATATCCAGTTTCCATTCACAAATGCACCTCCAGTCCTGGCAAGCCAGAGCAGTTGCCACCATCCAAAGATTTTCCATGTGCCTGATCATTTTTTCCCCACAGGGGCATCTGAGGGCATGGCTGGGATGTGAGCACCAGCGTGATTGTCCTCTCCAGTGTCTGGGGGAATGAGGGAGCTTCAGGGGCCCAGCAAGGTCCAGCAGGGACCTACACAGGCTTTTCTGGATGCTGAGAGGTTGAGATGGGAGACGAAAACCTTGTGAAGTACAAGATGATGTTTTCAAATGCAAACTAATCTGTTTATCATCACAACCTCCATGTGCACCACGTTCTGACAGGCAGAGATCACTCCCTGCAGCCAAGCATCCTTCCACGGACTCTGGCCCCTGCCACACGCCACCTTCAGCTTTGGTTTAATTATCACCAGAGTCCAAGTTTGAAAATAAGGAGCACGGTTTTAACCCCGGAATCCCTGAGGTGATTTTTTACCTTTGGTATTTTGCATCTAAAGCAGTCAGCAAACAGACCCACCTTTCCAAGTTCAGGGTCTGATCCAAAACCTCTCAAAAGCAAAGATTCCCACTGCCTTTAACACACTTTGGATCCAACCCCTGAAGATTTAAGCTTTTTTTGTTCCAAACCACTACTTGCTACTATCTGCAATAGAGCAAGATCTTCCCTATTGGAAAAGCTCTCTCATAGCTAGGTGTCCTGTACCAATTAACTATCTTTACCATAATAATTTCAGTTTTTACACTGGGACCCTTCTTTTTAAGCTGGTCTTCCCGATTGTTTTTGGTGGGACAAAGGAAACCCGCCTTCCCAGGAACGGCAGCATTCCCAGCAATCCCCCCCTTGCTTTTTGCCACGATCCAGTGCTGTGGATATTGCTTCCACATTGAGAATTTCATCTGGAGGCCCAGAACAATGAAAATGCCTAATTACATTGGCAGAGACCATGATTATAATTTCCGTGCTTTCTTCCCCACACTGACTCAGCCCGATGTGCGCTCCCACCGCCGCCGGGTCGGGGCAGTTACAACATTCCCCTTCCCTCAAGCTCTGGAGCCCACATGCCAAATGCAGCTTAAAGGACCCCTGAAGATTTCAATTTGCCAGTCAATAAGAACCAAGACTCAAAAAGCAATTCTGACTGCAGAAGGTAAGAGTGAGAGCAGTAAATTCTCTCCGCATGAAGCTACGGTGTTTGATCACCAGCACTACCAGCACTTTCTACTTGGAGTGTCCCAGTTCCCCATACCCCTAAATCAACAAAGATCACACCTGCTCTACCAGAAAGCAGCTATACTTGCGTTTTCCAAAAATCTTATCTCCACACTTCATGAAAGACACAGCCAGACTTAGGTCTGCGTGTAGAAACCCATTCGCAGTTAGTGCTTTTAATGATTAAATCAAGGCTTCACCATCAGTTCTTTAGAGCAACCAAAAGTTCTCCTTATAAGCAGCACAGCCTTGTAGAGCTTCCAGTGATGGCCTGAGAAAAGCCAGGCTCACCTCAGCCACAGCTTCCTCTTGAAATACTCTGAATTCGAGCTGATTGGGCACAATTTAGGTTCTATTTGGCACTTTTAAAGGCAAAGCAAAAGGGATTGGGAGAAACACCAGCCCTACCAAATAGAAATGCAAGTTGTAAGTTTGATGAGGGTTGATGCTTACACGAGGAGACTCCTTTTCTCCACGGGAACAGGGGACTATGAGATAATTCAAAATAATTAAGAGGTGTCCACCTGAGAGCACGATGGCCCAGGCAGTTACTGAGCAGGGCTGATGCCCTGAGCTCACCCCATGCCCTCGTCCCAGCAGGATCAGCAGCAGAGGGGTCCCCTGTACCCCCAGGACAGGGGAACCAAGTGAGCCCCAGAGCATCAGGGCCACCCCAACCCACCCTGGCAGCCAGTTCATGCTACTACAGTCACAGCTTTGAGTTCAGGCAACAGCAAAATCTAATCACACTTTTTTAATGTAGTGGGTAAGAGATCCGACATCGCGCTCAAATGTTCCAAGTCGTTTAATTTACAGCTCAAGGACGGGAAAAGTGTTTTCAGATGTGTTGTAGGGGATTAAAGTCAGCTACATGGAAATCATTACCCTGCACTAACAACGCTCTACTCTATTTTAACGGCTGCTGGGACAATCCTAAGAAAAATAACTTGACCTAGGTTAGCACCGGGCCTTCAACACGGGCCTTCGTGGGAAACGGACCCATTAACAAGACATAACTAAAAAAATAAAGTTGCAGACACCTTTTATCCCACGATTTGTTTTCTAAAAGACTCAACACCATTCTCAAGAGATTACTTGCATATGCTCACACAGTTTACCAAAATGTTTTTTCACCTGGTAATGATCTGCAAGTCTCGCTCTCTACATTGGTAGAGCTGCTTTTAAGTTGCAAGAATTCCTGGATCTTATTGAATTTCTAATTTCTCCAGCCCCTTATAAACCAACATTGAGCACTTGGGAAAGTGCCAGACCGGAGCTGGGATGCCGCCGTCTGCTCTTGTGCAGCCACACAGGTGTGAGAGAGCATGAAAACCTCCAGAACAACCCTATGGATGGGTTTCACCCCAATATGTAGAGACCTTTTGGGGTTGAGGTTGACTCCAGGTTCCTGCCCATCTCCTGAATGGTGTTCACGTCCCGCGATGGCACATCACTGTGGCCACCACTGATGCCTATCACTGATATAAGCCTTCTAGGAGCTGAACTGAGTCCAGAAACAGGTACAGCCAATGATTCTACTTGCCCAAGGCTGTGAATGTCACTGTGATACCCATGAGGTGATGGATCCGTCCCCGCAGCCTGATGTAGAGCTTTTACCCACCAACCAAGGCTTTGCACAAGCTGGTGAAGGGGTGCTGAGCTCAGCTGAGCACCCCGATGGACCCAGCTCGACCAGGGTACGTGAAGAAGCTGCAGGATTTCTCCTCCTTCATTCCTCTCGGCTGAAACCATCGCTGTGTATCCAGGCTCTGGAAAGCTGCCGGTTTTCCTCTCTATTAGTCCTCGAGGAGCTCCAGAGGGGAAGCTGTGATTCACTTTTCCAGTTGTACTTTTACTGGAAACTTGAGAACATCATACATTGTCATCCTTCCCATCTTCCAGCAGCGCAGCTCGTGGCAAACGGACCCCGAGAAAATCTCCAGGAGGTGGGGGAGGTGGGAGGGGGGGCTCAGGAGAACATCAGCTACGTGAGGTTCCAGGGACTTTTGGGGCTACGCGTCCAGCAGACTCACTGCTGGGTCTTCTCCCATAGAAGCTTCCAGAGAAGCACCATCTCTATACAGAGGGCAGGAATAAATTGAGAAATGAAGATTTTCTAACTCAGATTCTCCAAGCAGAACTCAGCAGGACCGTAACAGTGCACGGGTCCGTGTGGGTTCTCCACACGGGAAGTGGGGTTCAGTTATCCATCCCCCTCACAGGGCACAGCTCACGGCTACCAGTTCTGCACTTGGGCCACTGCTTTCCTTGGTCACCCAGTCTCAAGCAAATGAGAACAAATCTGACCCGCACTGAGGGTCCAGAATTTGGGTTTCCCAGCCCAGGCACGCTGGCTTTCTTCCTTCTCAGCCCCTCATCCTTGCTCTGCCGGGGTTGCACAGAACAAACCAGCCCCCCTGAGCTGGGCAGGGGTGTCCACAGCTGCTATTTAAAAAAAAAGAATTACCATTTCTGACATCCCTTCCCTCCACGGGCAGTGCTGCTCCACCAGCGGGCACACCAGGTGGAGGGGGAAGAAACTGCTCCCAGGATTTACTATAGCCAAAAGGAACCAAACGTGAACCTTTGAGGATTTATGGTTTGACACTACAGTCAGGAAACATACACAGCGCAACAACCCCGGGGTCCTTGGCTGTGCCTGGAGCCCTCCAGCACCCACCCAGCCCCACAATGTTATTACCTAAAAGAAAAAGGGCTGGATTGGGAAGAACAGCAGTGAATTTCTTTTTTTTTTTTTTCTTCTACCAAAAAAAAAAAAGCCATCTCACAACACGTGTGAATTCCTGCCTGCACTCACAGGAATACGAACACATTAGTCCCAGGGTGAGGAGCCAGAAAGCACACTTCTTGCCGGATAAGGAATTCCTTCATTTGTGTAACTTAGAAACAACTTCACAG